CTGACGGCCAAAATGTTCACCGATGTTCCTGTCACTGATGTTGGAAGATGCAGTTTAACATGTTGCTAATGAATATGATCCTATATAACGGTACCGTTGATAGATCACAGATAGTCCAAGGTCATTGTCTAACTTTAATAAATGGTTCGGTTGTTTATATATTGGACCGATCAATAATAGATTAATTATAGAAAAGTATTTTTCTGCTTTTATATTGATTGCCGGCTATAGACACGGAAAGGAATCTTTAACCAAAGGGTACTTTATCATTTCTCTGAATCCTTGGTACTGCGATGTACATCAATGGTACGATTATGCAGGATTGCACAAAGCATGTATATACTTGAAGCAATATACCATAAAGACTTACATAAAGGTCATCTTGTTGCTTGGGCCCTTTACCACCCTCTCGGTGAACATTAGCTGCCACTCGAGCAAAATACATTATCACTTTCTTCGTACTCTCAGTTTTTCCGGCTCCCGATTCACCACTAGCCAAAATAATTATCAAACATCAATAAAACACAACACAACAGGAACGTACCATGGCTTCATCTTCGATTATCAAAAATGAAAACATTAAATCTCAATTCTTTCTAAATAAATACCCTTTCACCACCATTCACTTAGGGTAGACTAACAGTGAGCCTGAAATCAGCACAAAGGCAAATTGCTTCGCTTGTACTCGAGTTCGCAGTAGATCTTCAATGGTGTAGACGCTTAGCCTGAGCGATATATGTATAGTCGATTCTGAAGACGTTGATAACATTTAACCAGAAAAAGTTGTGACCCTTGTTAAGACAGGAGAGGGAAGGTCTTACACGACAAGGCGTTCCGGTTGTCTGTTACACGGCAAGTAAGTCCGAGGACGTGATACCCACGCGTGTTTCTGTCGTCTTATGTGCTTGGAGTCTCTTATAAGCGTCGTGTTTTTCGAGCCTGAGACACGGATGGTGGTGAATGGTTTCTTGGTATTTATCACAATAGAATGGAGATTTAACACCTTGATAACCGAGGATGAACCACCACAGGGACCTACCATGTTTGTACACAAGCTGGGTGTTGTTCTAATACTACAGAAATGGGGGCATGTGCAGTGGAGAGGTTTCTATCTAAGAAGACGTTTACAGAAATTCATAAACACACGTTTTAAAGTTCACACGTGAGGAATTCTAAGTGTATCTTTAAAACAGACTAGATCACTAGATACTCTCGTTATGTGGGGGCATGCTTGTTAAAATATTGCTGTATTTCGTGTTCTTATAGTCTATCATGCATTTAAACTGATATGTGCGGCAAATATTATTAGGAGTGGATAAATTGCTGGTTAAACTTCACACATTGGGTAAGATATGAAGGATATGAGGAAGTAAATCGTGTTCGAGAGTACTCACGTGATCAACATGGACTGGTTCTCACGATCTGTGGACAAATGTATAGCATTCAGTCGTTACCCAAGTTGTATCTCCAATATACCTTTATCTAGCCCGGAGTACAGCAGTACAGTTCCATGTTTCTCCGATAGTTACTTGAAGGTGAGTGAACGTGTAGCAGTATAGTAAACTCCATATTACAATCAATATCATGTTAAGTCAATCCACAAGGAACGGTGACCTGGGTAGGTAATGTGTCAATGTCGGCATGTCATCACGGTGATAACAATTGTAGAAACATGTCTTGTATTGGTTCGTAGTTGGGTGTAATGGGTTATCGAACAGGAATGTATGTGATGAAGTGATAGACATCTCTGACACTGCCGATGTGTATATAGTTTCAGTGGTAACAATGGTCTTAGGGTTACAACTCGCCACAATGAGTTATGTCCCTTAGCTTCCAGGCCCGATTGGTTCCGATCCAAATATTATTCTCAGTGCGATCTTTGGATGGTCCGCATGATTCTCACAAAAACACAAGTGAAGTTGGATAGCCCAAAGGTAATCAGGTAATCATGTCCTATCGCTACAATCATACATATGTGTGTGTGTACGTGCGTGCGTGTGCGTGTCCCTAAGTACCTTGCAACATGTACTGGTAGGCGTTGTCAGCGACGGAGAACAAGTGGGGAGGCATCTCCACCCTTCGTTTGCCCCTGAACTTCTCAATAATCCTGGATGTGTAGATGGGGAGGCGCCGGTAGGGGTTGATGGCGACACAGAAGAGGCCGGAGTAGGTCTGAAGTAAATAAACATCACAATGGAGAAAGAACTGTAGGGGAATGGGATAAAATTGGGATACATTTTACATTTACAACATCGGTTATATGTAAGGAACACGCCTACATATTAAAGTAGTACCACACGCTTTATAGTTTCACCCACATCTGGTGTCACCATTGTACCTTCACGGTTTGTCTTCACTAATTAAATTGACACATGTCATCGGTTCCCAATTGCGCAGATCGATGCTCATGCTGTTGATCACTGGATTGTCTGGTACAGACTCGATTATTTACAGACCGCCGCCATATAGCTGGAATATTGCCGAGTGCGGCGTAAAACTAAACTCACTCACTCACTCACTAATTAAAGGGGGGATGGGTGGGGTGGGGTGGGTGTTAGTTTTATTGGAAACTGAATTCTTTTGAATACCCTACCTCATTACACCACCATATTACACGATCATGAGGCCAATTCATTATCGATCAGTATGTAACGAAATCATAAATATTGAGTATATTTTAACTTTCGTCAAATCACAGAGCGATCCACCTTTTTCCATTTACATATTGGACGGTCTTCCTCGGGCTACATCTTCTAAATGCTGTCAACATCTCTTTTCGAAAAGTTTCATATTTATCCTAACGATTATTTACGATGCAAATCATACATATCAGCGCAAAATACATTGTATCTTTATTAAAACTTATCGTGATAAAGTAAACATAGTTTATACGAGAGACAACTATGCTTTATACTTGGAGATGCAATGTAAATATTGGTTGAAAACGTGAAACAGCAATGTATATTCTATCTGAAAACCTTGGCTAAAAGGAGGAGTCACATTCTACATATCTAAATGCGTTCGAACATTCCGGGCAAGTGAAGCTGCCAAGGTTTCAAGGACTTTGAAGGTCGAAGGCAGATGGTGCCAAAAATAGCACCACACGCTCCGCGCATCTGCAGAATCACCCCAGAATATCGTCTTTCAGGCCATAGTTTCGAGCAGGTCCATGAATCGCAAACTTACAATCATACATGTGTTCGCATCATTAGCTTGTTTGAACATTTCAAAATGTATATTTCTTTAAAGCAGGATTCATATTGTAAAAGAACATTATTCAAACGTTTCTGTAACGTTTCTACATAATCTAATTAATGTTTCATGCACTATTTTCAGGCAATGTCAATATGACATTACGTCAACGTTTGGATCAGGTATATAATCAGTAGGGCGATGAATCACTAACAGCTAACAACACTAACTACAGTGTATACCTAATGTTAGTGAAAAACCTACTTTGGAATCGGAATTTCAGAGTCTGGTTCCAGTAAGCGACCTTAGGACTTTGACTTTCATACATCTTAGTGTATGAATTTAGGTTGTACCGTAAGGATAGTTTTGTGACAAAAGGCGCCTGTTAGCATTAGATACATCTTGACATAGACATCCATGATGCGAGATGATATCCTCACTACGATGGGACAACAGATATACCTGCTAGTTTCATACATGCTTCAACTAAGAATCATTTGATTTGTACCGTAAATAGTATCAGTGTCTCAGTCTGATAGCGTGTCATTCAGATTAATAGCACCTGAAAAACATTGTCCTTCAGTCAACAGTTCCATTTCCAAACTGATAATGACATTTTCACCTAATCACCTTTTCCAGGGACGTAATATGTCCAGCATGAAGTAACATAGCATAGGCAAAGTTCTGTCTGAGCAAGTCACATGAGTTGAGGTGGCATCAGTGAGTACTTACGTAGATCAGGGAAGCGGTGTATCTAGCTCTCAAGTTGTACAAAACGGCAGCCTCATTAAGATAGGTCAAGTTAGCCATGTCGTCGATCTTCTCGAACTTAGGGGGATTCATCTGCATGACGTCATCCTTCTTGACAGTTCTTTGCTGTTGAGGGGACGGAACACATTATCATAAATACATGCATCTTTTTAGTTTTGCTTTTATCTTTGAAGACGTGTAAGAATCCAGTGTTATTCAAATGCCATACCAAAAGACCTTTCTTTGTGTATCAACAAATTCAGAAAAATACACCTGGTTACCTACATAATAGTACAACCATGTGTCCCATATTCAAGCAGGGATCTCAGTGTTAAGTAAGGGATTAAAACCCACGGTCTAGCACTACATGGATCATGAATACAACTTAAATCATATTTACCGCGTTATTAGAATTCTGCCGAACGGTGATTTCCTCTCCTTTTGTGCTCTCAATCTCACAAGCCACAAATCCTTCCTTGTCATCAGGAATCCAGCAGGCCTTTTTACCGTCAAAGGTCTGGGTCTGTTCTTTCATCAACTTCTTGCGATCTACCGCAAGGTACTCCATATCGGGATCGTTAGGATCAAAAGACATCTTGGAAGATGTGGTGGCGACAAGCTCCTACTTCTGCCGAAAGTTTGCACTGAAAGTGCGAAGTGTCGAGTCTGCCGACTGAGAACTCTTCACCACAGTAGGCCTACTGGAGACTGGCAGAACAGCTCTAGAGATCCAGCAGCTGAAGCACAAGGTCAAGGCTAAGTAATGTAGGCCCAACAACTGTTTTTTAATCAAATACATGTAACATTAACGCACATCGAATTGTCATTCAATTTTAATTGGATTTGTGTATAGTTAAAGTAAGTGTGTGTGTGTGTGTGTGAGAGAGAGTTAAAGTGAGTGTGTGTGTGTGTGTGTGAGAGAGAGAGAGAGAGTGAAAGAGAGATACTGTCTTCATCATTGCCATGTGTCCTTTTGATATTTCTTTTGAACGTTCAGTGGTTCCAAACGGGATATAAAATGAATGACGTTTATGTTTTTGTAAACACGTAAATGAATGTTGATAGTTGATGTTGATGTAACACGTATGTCAATGTTTTATGTTAAAAGCACATTCCAATGACATGCAGCACGGTATTACCAACTTATAGACATCATCTTAAAGCGAGGGCGTCTACACAACCCAAACCCACCCTTTCACATGCGATATAGAAACTACTGGATGACTCATATAAGATTTCTTTCGAACAAGGAACTTGTTAATCGACAATACCAGCTGGTGTTAGTGGAATATCATTACAAGATTTTGATTTAACATATATGTCGTTGGTGCGGTAACTGCGACATCTAATTTAGCAAGAAGCCTATAAGGTTTGTGAATCTGTCACATGTACTATTAATCTCTTACATGTACTCTGTCAATATATAAACGTAATCAAAATGCATACCAGAAAAAACATGTACTTGAAGCTATTAAAATTAAATAAGGATATACTAATAACGAAACATGAATAATACACCATGTACATTTGCAAGCACATTTTTAGAAGCATAATCACTCATAAATAAGTATTATTTAATGCCCCCAGTCGCTGTGAGAATCCATGCATGTCACTGATCGAAGTACAATCCTGGGAATGGTCACACACTGTGTTCCAGGGACATCCTCGCGATCCATAGGATAGAGAGTATATCCATCCGCCGATGCCTGACGCTCCACAGCATCCGGAGATCCCAATATGGATATTAACACATCCAGGATTTGAAACACACACCACATCTCCAACAGACAGTGGGTCCACACACAAAAATGAAAATCCGCTTACGTTATGTTAGGATCAAGCTGCTCGTGCAAGGGATGTTATGATGCAGACGATGTTGAAAGGAATCGTGTGTGTTTAACACTAAGGTAGATGGTGATATGCTTTTGGGAGCTGTAAGTGCACTTGAAGGTCAAGGGTCATTCGAGAAAGTAAAGTTTTTCAATTGAAACAGAAGTTTTTAAGTTTACCAATTTGAAATACAGCTGTTAAATGTTGATGTGAAGGTGATGACGTAATAGTAGTGAGAGAAAAGGGAAAACAGAATGAATGTTTGATAGGATAGAGAGACACACACACCACAATCCATGTACTTACGTTCAAAAGCTGTTCTGTGGAGATACACGGGAACATCCAATTTATACCACTCATTATAATTCTCAGACGTGTCATTATGCAAACGTATTTCTGATTGGTCCAGAAAAAGATCCTACCCAATCAGAAAATATGTAACTTAATACGTAGGTGCTTCTGTATAAGGAAAGTCCGGGAATCCGTGGCATGTGTTAGCGCGGCTATGACTGCCCTCTTCGGCTAGGCAGATAGGCTGAGCCAGCAACCAGTTGGAAGGAGCGGGGGTGATGTGTGTGCGTGTGCACTCGACCTCTGCACCGTAGACCCCCATGGGACGCCGGGCATTCAGGCGTGAGGCATAACCCTGTGGGGGCCGCTATTCAATTAGCGCATTGTGTGTCGGCGTTAATCATAATACGTGTCAATTTAGATTACCACCCAGATCTAATCATTTGGCGTTGCGCTCGTTTTATTGACAGTTTTACATTTATGCAACATTAATGCAGTGGAGATTAGGGTTTGTTTGTTTGTTTTGTTTTGTTCTGGGTTGTTTTGGTGTGTTTTTTAAAAATATCACTAGCGTTTTAATATTCAAACATATTGACGGATTAGAAAAGCAAATCCATCACGAGATGAAGCATAGTTTGGTGACCCTGCCCTGGACCTTGATCATATTTTTTCATGACCGTCCCTGTAAAGTGAAAGGTGCATTTTATATTTTGTTATGAAATAACCACTTTGTCATAACTGTGTGACTGTGCCTCCCCCCTATTTCTCCCTAACCCAGTCCCCCCCCTCCCCCCCCCCCCCGCCCCACTATTATATACAAGTCTAAACTCAGTGGACATCAGTTCAAACAAAACTGATAAATGTATTTAGGAGTGTGTACGTTACCGTCCATTAGCACAACATTTTTCTATCTATTTAACTAGGAAGCTAAGACAATACACAGTGTGACCGTACGGTTGTCTCATGCCTGTTGTTTTCTCGGTGATAAATTCATCCACACCTTCACAAGATTTAGTATCACCAGCCTAAGTGATGCAGGCCGGCTTGTGAATGGCAATAGGTTCTGGTTTCCATGGCAACGTGAGGTCGGAGTCGAGATGGGATGTGTATGTATCTTACAGGCAGGGATCCAGTGACTCGGTATACTGCAGGACTGGAGATAACAGCACAAAGTTTGCCTACCTTACAACATGGAACCGTGGTAGCCTATGCCCTTATATGGCGGTGCAGATTGGACTGAGCATTCGCTCTCGTGTCATGGGCTAGCTAAATACTACACTGGCATGGAGTTGCTGGAACTTTATATGGAACCAATGCTATCTATATATTCTCAGAACAGTCGTTAGATGCCCCTTTCATGATCAGACAGTCTTACACCCACTCTCGATTCCACCTTGACATACACTTAGCAGATGCCTGTCGGTTTCCGATTTCTTTTTTATTTCGTTGAATTGTATTTTACAAAATGATGGATTGTGTAATGGTGTTGATTATCGTCAAGGAATTCGGAGTTTTAGTTCAATATTTTGCTACTGAGAAATTGAGCTACTTGAGAATATTTTTGGAGCTTGTTTAGCAAAGAGACACACGCCTCTCCTTCAGACTCCGATATACTCCTCACAAGCTAATTGTTCTTTAAACACTTTTTCAATCGTTTATTCAACCTGAATAGCACATGGGCGGTAACGAAAGCATGAGAGACTGACTGTTGGGAAGTTAGTCAGATGTAGGAACGCCCGGAGGTTGTGTTGTACCACGACGCTAGGCATCATCCGTGGAAGAGCACCTTCACGCAGACAGCACGTACGTTGCACCGGCAGAACGTGCACTCGCACCTTGACACAGACAGGTTGTCAATTGTTATAGCTAGAACATGCACTGTCATGAAGACAGCATGTGATTTGTGTGTGTGGTGTGTACAGACTAGAACGTGCACTCACACCTTCATGCAGACAGTGTATGGCGTGCACAGACTAGAACGTGCACTCACACCTTGACACAGACAGTGTGTGGCGTATATAGACTAGAACATGCACTCACACCTTGATGCAGACAGTGTATGGCGTGTATAGACTAGAACGTGCACTTGCATTTTGACGCAGACACTGTGTGGCGTGTACAGACTAGAACGTGTACTTGCACCTTGACGCAGACAGTGTGTGGCGTGTACAGATTAGAACATGCACTCACACCTTGACGCAGACAGTGTGTGGCGTGTACAGACTAGAACGTGCACTTGCACCTTGACGCAGACAGTGTGTGGCGTGTACAGACTAGAACGTGCACTTGCACCTTGACACAGACAGTGTGTGGCATGTACAGACTAGAACGTGCACTTGCACCTTGATGCAGATAGTGTGTGGCGTGTATAGACTAGAACGTGCACCCGCAAACATAATCGGATTGTTTGAGCTAGAACAATGTGCTCCCATGAAGCTGGCAAACTAGTTTAACCCTCTCTTGTTGGGCACTAACATGCTATTCGTAATACTGAAAAGGACTCGTAATTATCAGGTAGATTATTCATGGTTACTGACAGAAAATAACAGGCACGTTTAATATGAACGTAATTAAGCATGTCTGGTGCACCGTCAGTGTTGATGATGATACACTGCTTCCGTTGACACATGCATGGTTACTACTGTTATGGCCTTAGTGATTCTTGTTCGTTTTCTTAAACCCATTAAATTTCAAATTTTGACAGTACAAAAACACATTAAGGCATTTGTCAGCTTTTCCTACCTTTACACAGGTTTATACATTGAGCCAGTATCGCCAATGACACCACTGTTCATAAGCATATCCTTACTGGATACTCTCATGTTATTCATTCAAGACAAATCATAACTTTCTATATTTCACACAGACATAACGTCAAAAGGACGTCTTTAATTACACTCCCATCAATTCAATAAACAGTGTCAACATAACCTCAGTTGTATAATCTGAAACATTGCTATATTTAGAGACCTATCTATTTAATCCAAGGTGTTTTCGGATTTCTTATATCAAAGGATAATTTTACTCAAACAGGTGAAAAAACCCGTCTGATTGAAACGATGCCGATGTTTCCCGACACCGACATGCGAGGAGGCCCTACATCAACCTGTAACCACGACGTGGTACGATGAGATGGTGGGCGAGATGGACCTCCAGAGAATCTGAGAAATATTCGCTGATCTTACGCACCTGTTATATGTTAGCTGAGCCTGTACACGCCATTTACTATCTACCTCGCCCCGATACACTGACACACGACTGGGAAGTAAATATCATCATGTTTAAATGGATGTGTAACTCTATCTGTGTGTAGGAGATGTCCTGGTGTCTAAGACGCCATGTGTTAACCTTTCTGTGGGTAGGAGATGTCCTGGTGTCTAAGACGCCATGTGTTAACCTTTCTGTGTGTAGGAGATGTCCTGGTGTCTAAGACGCCATGTGTAAACCTTTCTGTGTGTAGGAGATGTCCTGGTGTCTAAGGCGCCATGTGTAAACCTTTCTGTGTGTAGGAGATGTCCTGGTGCCTAAGACGCCATGTGTTAATCTTTCTGTGTGTAGGAGATGTCCTGGTGTCTAAGACGCCATGTGTAAACCTTTCTGTGTGTAGAAGATGTCCTAGTGTCTAAGACGCCATGTGTAAACCTTTCTGTGTGTAGGAGATGTCCTGGTATCTAAGACGCCATGTGTAAACCTTTCTGTGTGTAGGAGGTGTCCTGGTGTCTAAGACGCCATGTGTAAACCTTTCTGTGTGTAGGAGATGTCCTGGTGTCTAAGACGCCAGTTGAAAAACTTTCTGTGTGTAGGAGATGTCCTGGTGTCTGAGACTCCATGTGTAAACCTTTCTGTGTGTAGGGGGTATCCAGGTGTCTAAGACGCCATGTGTAAACCTTTCTGTGTCTGTCCTGGTGCCTAAGACGCCATGTGTAAACCTTTCTGTATGTAGTGTAAGAGCCATGTCCTGGTGTCTAAGACGTGTCATGCCATGTGTAAACCTTTCTGTCCTGGTGTCTGAGACGCAGTTAACCTTTCTGTGTGTTGGAGCTGTCCTGGTGTCTAAGTCTGTGTGTTGGGGTGTCGCCATGTGTAAACCTTTCTGTGTGTAGGCCAGATGTCCTGGTGTCTAAGACGCCATGTGTAAACCTCTTTCTGTCTGATACGTGTGTAGGAGATGTCCTGGTGTCTAAGACGCCATGTGTAAACCTTTCTGTGTGTAGTGGTGTCCTGGTGTCTAAGACGCCATGTGTTAACCTTTCTGTGTGTAGGAGATGTCTGTGTCTAAGACGCCATAGGAGGAGATGTCCTGGTGTCTAAGACGCCCTTTCTGTGTGTAGGGAGTGTAAACCTTTCTGTGTGTAGGAAGATGTCCTTTCTGTGTGTAGGAGATGTCCTAAGACGCCATGTGTAGAAGATGTCCTTTCTGTGTGTAAACCTTTCTGTGTGTAGGAGATGTCCTGGTATCTAAGACGCCATGTGTAAACCTTTCTGTGTGTAGGAGGTGTCCTGCTGTCTAAGACGCCATGTGTAAACCTTTCTGTGTGTAGGAGATGTCCTGGTGTCTAAGACGCCAGTTGAAAAACTTTCTGTGTGTAGGAGATGTCCTGGTGTCTGAGACTCCATGTGTAAACCTTTCTGTGTGTAGGGGGTATCCAGGTGTCTAAGACGCCATGTGTAAACCTTTCTGTATGTAGGAGCTGTCCTGGTGCCTAAGACGTCATGTGTAAACCTTTCTGTATGTAGGAGGTGTCTTGGTGTCTAAGACGCCATGTGTAAACCTTTCAGTGTGTAAGAAGTGTCCTTGTGTCTGATACGCCATGTGTAAACCTTTCACTGTGTAGGAGCTGTCCTGGTGTCTGAGACGCAATATGTTAACCTTTCTGTGTGTTGGAGCTGTCTTGGTGTCTAAGGCGCCATGTGTAAACAAGTCTGTGTGTTGGGGGTGTCCTGGTGTTTGAGACGCCATGTGTAGACCTTTCTGTGTGTAGGAGGTGTCCTGGTGTCTAAGACGCCAGTTGAAAAACTTTCTGTGTGTAGGAGATGTCCTGGTGTCAAAGACGCCAGGTGAAAACCTTTCTGTGTAGAAGCTGTACTGGTATCTAAGATGCCATGTGTAAACCTTTCTGTGTGTAAGAGGTGTCCTTATGTCTGATACGCCATGTGTAAAACTTTCTGTGTGTAGGAAATGTCCTGGTGTCTAAGACGCCATGTGTAAACCTTTCTGTGTGTAGCGGGTGTCCTGGTGTCTAAGACGCCATGTGTAAACCTTTCTGTGTGTAGGAGGTGTGTTGGTGTCTACGACGCCATGTGTAAACCTCTTTGTGTGTAGGAGGTATCCTGGTGTCTAAGACGCCATGTGTAAACCTCTTCTGTGTGTAGGAGATGTCCTGGTGTCTAAGACGCCATGTGTATACCTTTCTGTGTGTAGGAGCTGTTCTGGTGTCTAAGACGCCATGTGTAAACCTTTCTGTGTGTTTGAGCTGTTCAGACGTCTAAGACGCTATATATGCTATGTCTGTGTGTATGAGCTGTTCAGGTGTCTGAGACGCTGTGTCTGTGTGTATGAGTTGTTCAGGTGTCCGAGACGCTATGTATGCTATGTCTGTGTGTATGAGTTGTTCAGACGTCTGAGACGCTGTGTCTGTGTGTATGAGCTGTTCAGACGTCTGAGATTCTATGTATGCTATGTCTGTGTGTATGAGCTGTTCAGACGTCTGAGATTCTATGTATGCTATGCCTGTGTGTATGAGTTGTTCAGACGTCTGAGATTCTATGTATGCTATGCCTGTGTGTTTGAGCTGTTCAGACGTCTGAGATTCTATGTATGCTATGCCTGTGTGCATGAGCTGTTCAGACGTCTAAGACGCTATGTATGCTATGCCTGTGTGTATGAGCTGTTCAGACGTCTGAGATTCTATGTATGCTATGCCTGTGTGTATGAGTTGTTCAGACGTCTGAGACGCTGTGTCTGTGTGTATGAGCTGTTCAGACGTCTGAGACGCTGTATATGCTATGCCTGT